AATCTTTGTTTTCTTTTGCTTTTTAAAATATATTTTTTTATTTTTGTTCATTTCATTGTGTTTTTGTTCTAGTGAGTGTGAACATTGTTTTTAGTTTTTTTTGTTCGTTTTGTTTTGTTTTGTTTCTTCTTTCTTTCCCTTCTGTCTTCTTCATCAGTTTCCTAGGACTTGGATCTATCTTCCTTTGTGTTCTAGCCTTGCTGCTAATCTCTTTTTCTTCTTTTATTTCTCTAATTTTTCCTTTTCTCTTTGTAAATTTTCTCCCCTTAATTATTTCTGTCTCAGTTTTACTCTCTGTATAATTTCTTTTTCTCCCTCTTTTTCTTTTATCTTCTACATTTTGCCAGTTTTGCCGTATCTCTACATAATTCTATAGACATCCTTCTATTCCTCAATAAGATCCATTGTACTACTTCTCTTCTTTCTTGGGTCATAGAGCTTAATATTTCAAAGTTTTTCTTTTGCATTCCCTCTTCTCAAACCCTAAATCTTTAAAAAAATATAACCATATGCTTTGTTAGTCTTTTGATATTAACTATGCAAAACTACTGTTGAATTCTTTTCTATCATTTACAGAGATATAGCTGTTCCATTTAGTACATATTAGGTGTAAGCCAATAACTGGGTTGCCTTAATTTACATTATAATTGATGGTTTCTTCTCTAGGACTAAGGGTGGTACATAACTGGTTCTTATAGTATGTTAATATCTAATTTGTCACAGGCAATACTACTTTAAGTATTTTGCTTGATATTAATGGAGTCACATAATTGTCACTGTTTCTCTGTAAGCCAACATTCAGATTGCGTTGAGATAAAAGAGGAGAGATTTATTTCATCTCAGAGCTTATAGCCATTTCAGTGCATATTCAACTGGCACAAAGGAAGGATGGCATGGCAGATGGACAACACAGAGGAGAAACAGTTCATAGTGTGGTAAGGAGAAGGCAGTGAACAGCGAGCAGCAAGCAGCTAGCCTGATTTTCCCTTTTATCCCTTCTAAGCTACCAGCCTTTTGATATTACCATCCAGAAATATGATAATTCCAATCTGTGGACTAATTAAGTACCACATGCCCATAATCTCAGTAACACACATCCTTGACACAGTCATTTCTGAAAATCCCCATCTATGAGCACATGAGGCTTTGGGTGGACATCTAGACATAAACTATAACAGCAAGTAAAGAGGTCTTTATACTAGCAACAAAGTCTTTAGACTATAAGCATCCACAAACATGAGTGCAAAACAAATAAATAAACAAATAATCACATTAGAGACATGGTAATGAGGCAACACAATGCCTCCTCAAACTCCAACTCCCCCAAAGCCAATTCAGAGGACACCAAATGGCAGAATAGTATAAGCCACACAAGTGAATTACTCAAAAGCATAGCAGAGGTTACAAAACAGATCAAAGAGATACTAAGTGGGATTAGAGGAGATGTAACTAAACAGACAATGAAAGTAATAGCCAAAAAGGGTGCAGGAGTTCTCAGAAGACACTAATAGAAAGCCAGATGAGCTAAAAAATAATACAAAATATGAATTACCAGTTTACCAAAGAATTAGAGTTCATGAAAATGTTTCAATCAGAAATCTAGGAAATAAAAAATTATATTGATATTATGGCCACCAAGATGGACTACTGTGAGGACAGAATTTCAGAACCAGAAGACAATGAAGACTTCAAACATTAACTACTCAAATACACCTTAAAAACAACAAGGGAAAATGAAAAACTTGACTCAATGACTGCTAAATGAAGCAAAGAAGAATAATCTAAGAAAAATTAGAATAGGTAAAAAAATCTGAAGACAACACAAATGGCATAAAAAAGCTGTTCAAAAAATAATGACAGAGGGCTGGGGATTTAACTCAGCGGCAAAGCACCTGCCTGGCAAGCGCAAGGTTGTGAGTTCGGTTCCGGTACCGGAGAAAAACCAAAAAAAAAAAAAAAAAAAAAAAAAATAATGACAGAAAGCTCCACAAATACAATGAAGGAAATAAATATACAGATAATTGAGGTATATAGAAAGACTAATAGCCATGACCTCCCCTCCACATTAATTTAGAATTTTAGAAGCCCTTCACAGTGACAAAACTTTAAAAGCTGTTAGAGAAGAGTAAGAAGTCACATACAAAGGTAAATCCATTAGAATTATAGCCAACTTCTCTATAGAAAACTTAAAGTCCAAGAAAGCTAGGAAAGAAGTATTTCAAACCCTAAGAGGTAACAGCTTTCATCAGACATGGTGATGTATGCCTGCAATCCTACCATTTGGGAGGTAGGTGGATCACCATGAGTTTGAGGCCAGCCTGGGCTACATAGTGAGTTCAAGATTAGCCTGAACTACCTAGTGAGACTCTGTCTCAAGAAAAAGGAAGGAAAGAAGGAAGCAAGGAAGAAAGAAAGAAAGAAAGAATAAAGAAAGAGAGAAAGAAAGAAAGAAAGAAAGAAAGAAAGAAAGAAAGAAAGAAAGAAAGAAAAACAACTTCCAATCTTGACTTCATGTCCTGTAAAACACTCATTTAAAATTGATGAAGACATAAGGTAGTCCATGACATGGAGAGCATTAAGAAGTTCATGAGCTCCAAACCAGCATTACAAAAAATTATCAAGGATATCCTGGAGGAGACAATTAAGCCAACAATATCAATATTTCAAAAAGAATGAATATACCTGGTGGAATGAGCAACTAAGCAAAAGGGGAACAATGAGAAAATCAGCAACAGGAAAATAATGCAATGACAAGAATAAGTCAATACCTCTCAGTGATAACTCTCAATGTGAATGGTCTTGATTCTCCAATGAAAAGACACCAGATGTGCAAAATAGATCACACAAGAAAACCCAACAATATCCAGCATATAAAAATTCATTTAATTAAAAACATACAGACAGATTCAAAATCAAAGGGTGGAAAAACAATATTCCATGCAACAGGAACCCAGAAAAAAGTAGGGATTGCTGTCCTAATTTCAGACAAAGTGTATTTCAAGGTAAGACATTTATAAACATATGCATACCAAATATCAGTACATCTAACTTCATGAAACAAACAATAGTGAACATGAAAAACCAGATAAACACGAATATGATAGCAATGGGAGACCTCAGTACCCACTGTCACAAATGGTCAGATTAACTAGATAAAAAATCAACTAAAAACATCAGAATTGACCCAAACCTTTGAGCAAATAGACTTAGTAGATATTTATAGGGTGTTCCATCCAACAACAGAATACACATTCTTCTCAGCTGTACATGGGACCTTCTCCAAAATAGGCCACATACTAGCCAATAATGCAATCTTAGTTAGAGGCAAAATAATTGAAATTATCCTATGCACATTATTGGGCCATACTGTACTGAAATTATAAATCAGTGGCAAAGGAAACAACATAAGCTATGCAAACACACAGAAGTTAAATAATACCTTTTTGAATGTATCACAGACGAAAGTAAAGAAGAAATTAGACAGTATTACATACCAAAACTTATATAACTCTATGAAAGTAATCCTAAAAGGGAAGTTCATAGTAGTAAATCCCCACAGCAGAAAAATAGAATGAGATGATATGAATAACCTAACGAAGCACCACAAGATTCTAGAAAAACAAGAATAATCCAACTTCACTGTAAATATGAGGAAGGAAATTATAAAAATTGGGGCAAAATTAATGAAATTCAGATGAAAACCAATACAAAAAGTCAATGAATTGAAGAGTTGGTTCAGTGATTTAAAATAACAGCAAATTATTCCTATAGTTCAAGAGATCACAAGTATGTCAGTTTTTTCCACAGAACATACAGTAAATTTTTAAATATTTTCTAGAGAGTATGTGTAAACTTTAAGTTGTTTAGTAAATAAAAGTGAATGCCTTCTTTAAAAAATTATAAAATCAAGGAATTAATAAGATTGAATTAACCTTGTACATTTCAGAACAGAATCTATTTTCTTGCTTTTTTCAACTCATCAAGGCCAACTACATTTCTTGCTTTATGGACCCTTTTTATACTTTAGCTTCTTGTTTCTACCATTGTAGTTACTATTTCTTATTCTGATCTGCCTGCTTCCCTCCAATTAGGTCTTTTGTGATTATATTGGACCTACCGTGGTAATTCAGGATGATCTCTTCCATATCAAGATTCTTAATTTAAAAACATTTTAAAAGTCCCTTTTACCATGTAAAATAACACATTCACAGATTCTAGGGACCAGGATCCGGACATCTTTGGGGGTTATTAATCAGCCTACCAACAGGAACTGTAGCTTGGAAACAATCATCAGAATCAGAAAAAATAAGGTGGTCTTATTGGAGGTGGTGTACCCTGATGGGTATGAAGATAAGGAAGAAGTCAATTCTAAGCTGGCAAATGATAAGAACATAGGTAGTGGGTGTATAAATTAGCATAAATTACATGAAGAAAATTAAAGAGAATGATATCAGTGCTAAAGATGTGTTCAAATGAGAGGAGGGAAGACCAGACCATGAAGTACCTTAAAGATAAAGGAATCCAAAAACAACATCTACGAGTTACTGACAGTTCCTAAGTAACCCTTCAAGTGACATTCTGAAGACATTATTTTCAGGACAAGGGGCTGGGGATTTAGCTGGGGATTTTGCCTGCCTGGCAAGCGCAAGGTCGTGAGTTCGATTCCTGGTACTGGAAAAAAAAAAAAAAAAAAAAAAAGCCTGAACACAGGACAATTAGTCTAGACATATACGGATGAGAAAACAGATCTTAAGAACTAACTTATTATATCTTCTGTGAAGCATCACTCATGTCTAGACTATCTAAAACAACTGAAAACAAATTGACAGCCATTTCAAAGAAGAGAGAAAAGATAAAGGCATGATCATTATAGCATCTGTTCACTTACAGGAATGCAAGACTCAGACAACTAAGGGCTTCCTCTAATACTTTGCAAAGAAAGAAAATTACTGAGTTCCATAAAACTTTTTAAAGATTTAAAAAGAAAAAGTTTTACTTACCTCATTGCCACATTACTTCCATCAATCACAATTGGCCTCAAATTGTCACTGCTGTCTATTTCATCTTCAAGAGACAATTCGGGGCTTGCACTTTCTTTGGAGCTGGGCCCACGGGGCACTAACAGACTCAAATTGACCTGCCCTTCTGAGTCACCTTTGTTCCCAAGTCTGACAAGTTCTGCCAATACATCATTAATAAGTGATTCTGGGCCCAGCTTATTCAGCACTGATTGAATTTGTTCCTCAGCATAGCCCAGCTTTAGAGCAAAATCCATCTTGGCTTGGTATTCTTTCTCTAAGTCGAGCTTACTATCCTGTAAAATACTGCTCTGGGAGAAACTTGGACGATCCAGGCAGGGTGATCGACAGAGCTGACGGTGTGTCTTGGAAGGTATCTCCTTTTTCTTCAACTGACCATCTCCAGGTTGGCAGGTATTGCTGTTGTTCTTAAGGCTTACCTGTTCAGGGTCACTCTCAGAGCTCATCCACTCTTCAGAATCAGCATTGCCTTGCTCTATGCTATCCTGCTTTGGCTGCTGCTTCTCTTCCTTGGAGGCACTTTTCTCCATTTTTGGTGTCTCCACTGCAGCTGTGGCCGTCATCTCGTTCAGTAGGTAATCTCCGGTCTAATCAGCTTTTTCTTTTCTTTTTATTCTGCTTGAAATTTATGTGTGGTGGTATTCCTCTGCTGTAAAACGTTGTGGTAGCAATGGTGGAAGAGTTTGCCTGTATGGTTTGGTATATTCAGATGTTACAAGTCCCTACAAATAAACATACATGCCACAATCATCTTTAGTAAACTTCTGGAAAAGAATTTTAGAGTACAAACATTTTCTCCTAAGTAAATACAAGTTCTTTGGAGTTTGATTTTTCTGCTTTCAGTGATTACACCAACCTTACACTGAAAAATATGGAGTCCTTAAATCTAATAATTCTAGACATAATATTCAATGGTGGCAATAGTGTCGCAACTCATATGCACATACACAAGACCACAGCTAAACTTATCATTATCTCTATAACCTTGAGAAAGAGAAACAATGCTTCTAAACAGAATGCAGATGTGTGTGTGTGTGTATGTGTGTGTGTGTGTGTATGTGTGTATCTCCTTGTGGGGACTATTTTTCCTCCTTTCTGTCAGGAAAGCATTTTGAGATCCTTCAGCACATTCTTGCCACGGCTGGAATCTACCTCTGAAGAAGATATTCTCTCTATTACTACTCTGCAAGATATGAGGAACCCCATTTTCCAGGCAGATTGGAAAACCATTAAAATTGTTTTCAGTCAATTGAAATAGGCTGTGAAAGTAACAGAGAGAGTCACGTTCCAGATGTTGAAGGGGATGTGCATACACCCCTAAGTATATCTACAGACTATTTATTTATTACAATTGGTAAACAAAAGGAGAAAATCACCTGGACACCGTGGTGCACAACTTTAGTCCCAGCTACTCAGGAGGTTGAGGCAGAAGGATCACTTGAGCCCAGGAGTTCAGGGGGCCAGGCTGGATGATAGTGAGGCTTAAAAACAAGAAGAAAATCAACTGAACTTTCATGATAAACCAGAAAAATTTAAAAACAGTATTAATTACAGAAGATAATTAGGCATAATTTTATTTCTGAATTACTCTTCTTACCTACCTTATCTGTACTGTCAGGTTTCAATTCTAACACATTTTCTTCTTTTTGAGCCTCAGTTTTCTCAAACAGGAATGAGAATGCTGGTTCAATCCCCAGCACTACGAGAACAATAACAACAAAATCCTCATTGACATTGGTGTGAATACCTTACAGACTACCTTACAGGGTAATTTTCCTTACAATTAAATAAGGAAAAAAAGTATTCAGAAAGGTGAATACAGCATATAGGTTCTCAACATACATAACTGGGATAGCAGACACCAATAACCTTATTTTTTAAAAAAGAGACACCTAGGCAAGGCTGTACACCTATGAGCCCTAAAAAGCTATTCAGCATTAACTGTGCCCACTAATATAAAGCAAGGTTACCTGCAGAGTATATCTGAGATTTCCAGGTATATCTCAATCCTATTTATACAAACAAGAATAAAAGCAAGCAGTAATTCAAATAATGTGATGGATAACTGCATGCTTACTTTAGGAGTCACAATTGGAAATATATTCATACAGAAATGACACCTGAAAAACTTACATCCTGATGGAGACCAATATGAAGTAGCCCCAGGGACTTACGTTAAACAATTGGCCTTTTATGTTTACTTGTAAATCTGTCCAAAGTCTAGGCTGCTCATCTGGAAGTGGGCAATAGAATCATAGTAAATGAACCTTTGTGAGTCACTAAACCCTATTAAAACCTATAATGGCAGATGAAGCTGGGAAGCCTCAAATGATAGGACAAGATTACAGCCAAGGACACCTGGATCCCATCTCAACTAGATAAAGACTATAGTCTTAGGCATCTCACTCCTGGGTGGATTAACTTAATCCTTTTTAAGGATTAATTTTATACCTTACTTGGAGAAGTTCTTGAGTAATTCTGCCCTTCTTGAGTACTCCCCTCCCTTCTTCTGATAACCAAATAAATACAAGCCACCCAGAGAAGGCATTGGTCTTAGCCCTGAGTGAATTCCAAATTCTGTGAGAGGGCTTTGATCAGCCTGCAACAACTAAGAGGTATTATTAGCCCAATAACTGGCACTCAAAGAGAGACATATAGTCCTTGGACTGGAAGTTTTTAGCTTGAACAACTAAGTCTACCTAGAGTGGAAAGTGTAGGAGATGAAGACCTTCATAGGACAAAAACCTCACCAGGGATGCCTGGAGAAAGGAGGGAAGAGAAGCATTCCACAAGGAATAGGTGTAAATCTTCCTGCTGTGACAAAACCATTTTTATCCAGGAGTAAAATGGGCAAAAAACTTTCAACCAAAGAGCAAAGATACGTAAAGCTGCTCCAAAATTTGTTTAAATACTCAGGGGCTCATGTGCCAAAAAAAGACCTAACAAAAATGTTACAAGAGGTAACCAAATATAATTCATGGTTTCCCTGGAAAGCCAATGTAGATATTGACAATTGGGAAAGAGTTGGAAAAAATTTCAAAACAGCACATAGAATAGGAAAAGTCATTTCACCTGACACATTCTCAACTTGGAACCTAGTTTGTTCAGTTTTAAGTCCATTGCAGAGTTTACAGTTAATAGCCTGTTGCTCAGATGCAGAGGAAACAAAGAATCTCCGAGCAGAGACACCTAGGCAGGAGCAGGAGACTTTCAAAAGAACATCCTATACAGCTCTATTGAGAAACTTACAGATTTTAAAGGAACAAGCATCCGCAAAAGGAGAAATCATTGGCACCCCCACTTGTTTCCCAGTTGGAACTCAGCAAAATGATCGCAATGAGGAGATCATGTCTCATGTGCCTTTTGAAATTCGGACTCTAAAAAAAATTAAACAAAGTGTTATTAATAATGGGGTTCAGAGCCCATTTATGGCAGGAGTTCTACAGAATGTTTTGGATACATATCCACTGACACCATGTGATATCAGTAATTTAGCACAAACATGCCTGTCTCCTGCTCAATTTCTTAATTTTGATGTACACTTTAAAAGTCTTGTTTCAGAGTAGGCTCACAGAAACAGGATGGGTCCAAATGCACATCTGGAAATAAATGAGAAGTTGTTTTCTGAGACAGGATGTTATGTGCTCCTTTGGGATCAGCTCCAAGGTTCTGAGGAGCTATAGACACAATAGGCAGATTTACTAAAAAGGGCATGAGCAACTATTCCAGAGGATGGGACTCCCATGCAATCTTTCTTACATATCCTTCAAGGCCCTAAGGAACACTTTACTCAATTTGTGGCTAGATTACAAGAAGCTGTTCACAGACAGATTTCAAACATTCAAGCCATGGACATTCTAATTCTATAATTGGCATATGCAAATGCTAATTTAGACTGTAAGCAAGCTTTAAATCCTGTAAAATCAACCACTGATCTACAACATATATTTGAACTTGTCAGGATATTGGAACTGAATTACATAAAACAACAATGACGGCTCAGGTTATGGCTGGTTTTACTAATGCAGGAGGGGTAATATAAAATGTTATAATTGTGGAAAAATAGAACATATTAGAAAAAATTGTAGAGTTCTTGCTATATGTATTGGGACATTGGCTGTGACTGCAGCAGGTTGAGGGAACAATGCCTCTTTCATGGAGGGTTTTGATCCTGTGCCTGCACCCTGTCTAAGATGCCAAAAGGGGAGACATTGGGCCAGACACTGTCATTCTAAAATCCATAAGGACAGTACACATTTGCAAATAAAATGAGGTAAGGGTCTTTCCTCACACCAGAGAAGAACAGAGGTAATATAACTTGTGAGTCAGAAGATCAGTCAGCAAACACACCAACAGATTAAAGAACAGTCTCAAAGATGGATATAAATTCCCTAACCAGGGGAAAAATATGAAGTACAGGATTACTTCTTCCTGCAATTTACAGAGACACTCTTACTGAGGGTGACAAACCTACCTCAATTCCCACAGGAGTTTGGGGTCCACCATTGGAGAGAACAGTTGGTCTTGTACTGGGAAAGGCTGATCTAGTTTTAAAAGGAATAACTATTGTGCCTAGTGTGATTGATAGTGATTGTCCAGATGAGATACTAATTTTGCATGTACTATGGTTTTCTGGGTTTTGTGACAGGGAGAAAATGTGGCACAATTGATTTTGTTACATATAGATAAGTGTTTCTTTATTAAATATAGACAGTTCATGAGGGAACAAGACCCTCAGAGCAGAACTACAAGGGAAATTTATTTTACACAGGAAGTGACTTAAAACAGGCCTAGTAGACCATTAGTGATCTTGTGTAGGGACTGTTTGGACTTCAGTAAGAACCAGCTGTTTACTTAGTTGCCTGTCTTCTGGCCTCGTAAAATTAACAATATGATATTCATTTCCAAATGTAATGGCAGCTTGCAATGCTGCTTGTCTCTCACTACAAGTCAATGTTTAAGAGTAATATTACATCTTTCCAGTGTAGTTCATACATCTGAGAAAGTCCCCTAAAGACCTCAATTTACTTACCAGGTCATCTGAAAACTTTCCCAGATCTTTTTAAAATCAGTTTGAGGTCATTGAGAGAAAAACACACATGGAGAGAGGTAAGGCCAAATTCTCTACCTGCCTCCTATAAGGCATACTGTCCTTGAGAAGCTTGAACAAAATCAAGTATGGATGGATATAGCCTAGTAGAGGCTTCAACTAAGGTTGACTTGGAAGGTTTATCCTCAGAGTCTGGAAGGCCAGTGAAGGGAACCTCAGACTCAGTAATAGTACCTGAGGCTTTAATTAAGGTTGTTTTGGCAACCTTGTCCTTAGGATGTGTAGGGTAAGGGAGGGGAATCACAGGCCCAGTAATAGTAGCAGCATCAGACTGTGCCTCAAGGGCCAGAGGTGTCTGCTTTTACTGTGACTTATATTTACATTTTGAACACAAGTAAGAATTACCTCTTAATGCAAATAAAGTTTCAACATGATGTAATTCTGACCATTTTCCTTCTCTTTTACAGTATAATTCTAGACTTGAAACAGTATCATAATCAGTACTTCCCTCTGCATTCCATTTTGCCTCTAGGGGGTAGGTGCATAAAAATATTAAGGAGCTTTCTCAATATGTAAGAGTTGAACAATTTGTAGTGCTTATTCCAAAGGAGTAAGAGAATTTGACATTGAACTTTCCATCTTCTTCTAATTATCTTGATGCGGACCTCCAAATGATATAGAGGAAATAATACAACTCCCAACCCATTAGATGTCAGATACACTGAGTTTTTCTCAAGTGTATCAAGAATGAAGAATGAATTCTAAAAAACAGCAGAGGTTAAAAGTAGGCCAAACTTATTGAGAGAGATAGTTCCTGAGAGACAGCAGGGGACCTGAAAGTGGGTTGCCTACAAGCAAACTAATTTTTCAGAGGATGTTTTACAGAGCAAAGTAATGAGGTGGGTACAAAATTATGAGGTGGGTACCACATGGGTCAAAAGTATGAGCAACCAATAGATTAAACGTGTAGCTGCTTAGGTAGTATTGATCCAATGGGGAGGCAGGTCGTATAGCAAGGGTACATGGAAAGAACAAAGACCTTTTTTAGGAAGGGCTGAATCAAGGGATCCTTGTCACTCACCTGGGTGACTGATGTCTATCTAGACTTTATTGGACCTGGTGAGTACAATCTTCAATTTATTGCTTATCCTTCAGGGAGGCACATAGGCCTGGTCATTCCAACTTTATCTTGAGTCCTGGCCTTCAGCAGATGCCCCTCCTGCCACAGTTGTAATGTTTTCTAATCCTCTGCAATGAATCCCTCAGAGGCCTATCCCTGTGTGACTGCCTATAGGATTTCTACCTAACTTTGTTGTCTATAATTTTAGTAATAAGTGGTGAAGTGATGTACAATTAAGCTCTTTCACAGATTTTCTGGTAACAACTATGAGAAATATACTTTGTAGATTCAGATTTATTGAAGTATAAATGTGTAGTGATGACAAAATATATTTTAAGTTATACAAGAAAATGTAGTGACATTTGATTCTTTTTTTTTCTTTTTGTCTTTGAGGAAACAAATCAGTGTCAAATAAGGCTATAAATTCTCTCTTCTAAGTTTTAAAAAATATTTGTATTATAATTAAATTAGAATCATAGAGTATCAGTGTTTGAATAGACCTTGGAGATAATCTAGTTCTGTTTACATCATTTTACAGAGGAAAACATTGAGGCTAAGAGAAAAAAGGGACTTTCTGTAAGTTGTAGTATAATGAGTACAAGAATCTTGGTTCACCTTCTTCCAGTTCAGAGCCATTCCTACTCTACCATTATCCCTTAACCCAATAGCTTTCGGGCTTTGTTTTGAAACTATTGTTCATCTCTTAGCAGAACATTAGACATTTGCAGACTTGGCAATAGGCACCTGGCGGTTACATGAAAAGCCAAAACACCGTTATTTTTCTCTCATTTTTTTCCTTCCCTTCCCTTCCCTTCCCTTCCCTTCCCTTCCTTTCCTTTCCCTTTCTTTCTTTGTTTTCTGTCTTTTTGAGACAGGGTCTCGCTATGTAGTTCAGGCTGGTCTTCAGCTCACTTTGTAGCCCAAACTGGCCTCAAACTCCCAACAATCCTCCTGCCTCAGCCTCCCGAGTGCTGGGATTTCAGACATGCAAAATGACACCGGGCCCCTTTATTTTCTTAATGATTAGCTACAGATAAAATCCAAATAAGCTTATGGATTTTAAGATGTAACCCAAGAGAATGTAACTTCCTCTGAGCATGCTGATCAGGTCCAAGGCCCTCAAAACATCCAAACCATGGATGAGGAGGTTGGAAAAATTTCAATGGCTTGAAACAAACTAAACAAAAACGTTTCATGTAGGGAGCATATGAGACCATTCGTCCCTCTGAAGTTAGTCAAAACAGACTTTTCCTTATTAAAAAAAATGAATTGAGAGAGTAAAATAATATTCCTTAAAGATTCATTTAATCATTTAAATGTAGCCTTATCTTTAATTTGAGGCCACTGCCATCTTGATGCTTCCACACCTTCATGGCTAAAGGTTCATTCTCTTTATCCATCACTCTAAAAATTTATCAATTTGCAATAAACTTTGCCTGTAATCTGTACAACTGAGTACATGTGTGAATTCTTTTTCCAAAGACACAAATAACTAAGGAATGTTTTTGGTTCCTTGTGATGTTAGGACCTGGCTTCCTGCAGATACCTCCTTAAGTGTCCCTTCATGCTCTGAACTAATATATTGATATAAGTTGTTGAACTTCTTCTTAAGAAGAGAGCACGTGACTCAAAGAGAATGACCTAGAAGATGATTTTTCTATTTTTTTAAAAATTTTTCTGCTAGTATGTTGTCAACTATTGCATGGCTCCTGAGACAATAGTTAGGAGACTCAGGAAATACTACCCAAGGTTGTAATGTGCTACTCTTTCTAAGGAATATTAATCACTTGGTCTTTCTGGGAGCAACAGACAGAAAATAAGTTACCAGCTACCACTATTGTTATATGCGGGGTAGACAGTTTGCCATGCCATGTCATGCCATGCCACGGCTCTACTGAAAATGCAGTTCCCAGATTCTAACCCTGGACACAGTACAGAACTGAAAAATGCAAAGTTTAGTACAACAAAAAATGGTTTACTTAGGTTTTAAAAGATGGAGAAGAGAGAGGATAGACAGGTACGATGAAATGGTAGGGGGTATCAAGGCTGACAGCCCTGGAACTTTATCCCAAGCTCATTTTATTTAGAAGGCAAAGTGTTTTCCCATCACCGAGGTGTTTGCTTGTGGATAGCTGGATATCTGATGTGCTCTTCTGGCTCGTTGATCCTAATGTAGGCATTCCTAATGGCTTCCCTTTTGGTTTCTT